AAAGTGGTCGTCGCGGCGAGCAGGGCGCTACGTCGGTGCGTGCGTACTTCCCGGGAGAGCTGTGGTACGACTACTTCACCCACGCGCCGGCCACCAACGGCAAGGCCACCTGGCTCACCCTCCGCGCGCCCCTCGACACCATCCCCGTACGTTGTCGTTGACTACGCTTCCATTTCCCGCCACTGGAGCCGAGCACGTGCGTGCGCCGTGCACCGTAACGCCTGACGTTCACGTTTTGTGCGCAATCGCGATGGCTGAATGCGCACACAGGTGCACGTGCGCGGCGGCGGAATCATCCCGTGGCAGGCGCCCGAGCTGACCACGACGGCCACGAGGAAGAACCCCTACAGCCTCATCGTCGCGCTCTCCCTCGCCGACACCGCCTCCGGCCTGCTCTACATCGTACGTGGCACAGCACAGAGCACAGAGCACAGAGCACAGAGCACAGAGCACAGAGCACAGAGCACAGAGCACAGAGCACAGAGCACAGAGCACAGAGCACAGAGCACAGAGCACAGAGCACACAGCACAGCACACAGCACACAGCACCACCGTACAGGCGCGCATGTCGTCGCACTAACCGGTCATCGGTGACACCAGGACGACGGCGACAGCATCGATCCGGTCGAGCGCGGTGCGTTCACCCTGATGTCCTACCGTGCGGTGCAGACCCCGACCTATGGCCAACTCGAGTCTATTGCGCTCGCCGACAACTACGTCGACGCTCAGAACGTAAGTCTTCCATATCAGCCCTGCATCTGCTCGCAAAGTACGATAACTCATCGTGTGTGTGTGTGGTGTGTGTGTGTGTGTGTGTAGCTCAAGCTCGACTCTGTGAGTGTGATGGGCGTGAAGCTGAAGCCCAACAAGGCGGCGATCAATGGCAAGCACGCCAACTTCAACTGGAACCCGGCCACCCTCAGCCTGGTGTTCACCAGCCTCAATATGCCCGTCAACGCCAACTTCACCCTGGTTTGGAGCTACTCGTGAGTGCCACACCTCATCTACTCCTTTATTTTTGTGCAAAAACCATTTTCTTTTTCTTCTTCTCCTTCCTCTTCAACATGTTGTTGTGCACATACAGCACATCTCCCTCTTTTCTGTGCTCTCTTCTCTCCATGGAGAGCTGCTCACAATCCACCACAAGAGACAGACATCAAAGCAAGTTGTGCCGGTTGGCTGCACACGAGTTTATCTGGCCTTTTCTCTTTCTGTCGACACTGGCCACA